TGTTTTGTATGTGAGTGTATGATGTGTGTGTGTTGTTGTTGTTTGGGTTTTTTTGCTTTTTGAACATTAGGTGCTTTGCACTGGTTACACTGAAGCAGTATAGTTAATGGAACCCTTTCTGTCACAATAAACATACCGTTAGTTCTCTTAGTGAGAGACTATCTCTCCACATGCTAGAGAACAACTTATTCTTTAACTTACTAAGGTTTCGTTAAGATGGCTCTTTACTTAGTTTTAAACATTGTCTGCAGACTTTTTAACATTTTGACAATTTTACAATTAATGAATGATCAAACAGTTTGCTCCCACCTGTTTAATTAGCTCCCAAACTCCTGATGCTTACATTTGTTTTTTGTTAGTTTGTCAGTGTCTAACATCTTTGTTCATTTTTGGTAAATAAGCTGTAATCAACTGAAGCAATGGAGTTATACATAATATAAAGACATGCCCTGTTTTTCCTGTATCCTTATGAGTCTACATTATTGCACCTACTCAGTAATCTTCATTAAAACCAATATAGCTTTTTTTTTTTTTTTTTGAGCAAGTTACAGGCCAGCAAGGCATTTATAACAGTTTATATACCAGCAATCTTTTTTTTTAGCAGATGATTTGATTTGTGCACCATCATACTGGTGGCACGATGCATAGCAGAGATAATCTACACCTATGTTTGGTTCAGGGTTCCACCGCCAGGGTTTGGGTTAAAGCACCTTCATGTGGTTACGGTTGTGGTTAAAAGTGAATCTGACGTTTTTGGATTTGGACAGAGCCAACCTATCAAACAAGTGTATTTATTTGGTTTCCCTCTCAGTCTGAGTGTCACGCCGAAAGTGGTCGGCGCTTTTCTCACTCACACACACACACACACTGAAGGAAAGCGCTTGTTAAAGCTCACCACGGCAGCGAGGGAGCGCGCGCGCCTCATCCAGCCTGTCCCATCACATCCCCTCCCACTCTCGCACCGTCGATGTCTACCTCCCTCTCTCTCCCCCTCTGTCTCCACGGGATGGCTCTCATTAAATGCGGAAGTTTACACCCAGTTAAGCTGCTGCCGCCGCAACCAAGATGAGCGTTGGTGTGACAGTTGAGCTGTAGCGAAGCTGGAGGAGCGGTGGGTCGGAGAGAGCGACGGTGCCAAACCGCGAGAAAACACCAAAGCCACCAGCGACACCGTCGCCGGACTGGACTTCAGACTCGCGTATGGCTTCTCTGGGCAGCGCAGATCGGCGGGCTTTCGCTCTGAAAATCAACAGGTAAATGTAAAGAAATTATAATATAGTATTGGGGGCACTGGTTTGGTTTGGTTTGGTTTAGTTTAGGAGTGAATGTGAAGTCTTACTTCCCCTTCAGGGAAGTCCAGAGTGAAGCAGGCAGCCACATGTTGTGAATGTCAATGCTGCAGGTTGATTCACTGTGTCCCGGGAAAAAAAAGAGAAAAGAAGGCAGCCTGGAGGATCATAAACAGCCAACTTTACTGCAACTTTAAATGCTCAGAGAATTTATGGCAGGTTATGATTAACTTGTGTTAAGCTTACAGTGGCAGCCATGTGCTCAGTCGGTCATGCATGAATTTGTTTATTTCTTGCTCTTTATTTACATACATGTCAGATTTGAGCAGCATGCTGAGCTTTTATCACCAAGCTAAACGATTTGCACATTATTTATGTCACTTCCTCCTCGTGAGGATGCTGATTATATATATCTACTGTTACTAATGTGACCATTTCCTGTATTTTTGGAGGGCTGACTAGCTCATAGAGCTTGTATAAATGACTAGGGATATGGTCATAGTTCCTGCTGTGACACTTGAGCAGGTGTGGAGGAAGTATGTACATGGAAGTCTATTGTGTACCATGCCTCCTGTGCAGTAGGGTCATTTAACAAAAATACACTATTTATCTACTGTGATGGAATATATTTATAAGGTTCTGTAGGGCCTCCTTTGAAATGGTAGAGGAGGTCAGTTTGTGTGGATCAGTTTAACCCTGAAAAGTTTTTTTTTTTTTTGGTCATATACAGCTTTTAGAAGTTTTCATATGTGTAACGCTTAAAGAGCCATATAGTAGTAGCCATATTTTGTGGAAGATGAGCACACTGGTTACACCAAATGTTTGATACTGTCGATTGACAAATCACTTAGTCAAGAAAATCCATGTTCTTGTTTTTAATAGCCTGGAAGAATCATGACGACTTGCTGTGATGTGATGTGCTGAGCAGAGCTGAGCTCAGCTGCTAAGGGATGTGAGAGATCTTGGGTCACAGCCTGAATCTACTGATGAGCCAGCAGAGAGGCACTGATTAGTGGCTGCTGTACTGTAGCACCTTTTCATAGTAAAAGAGCAAAGATGGAATAGATTAACACTCACTGTGATTAGATTTTGGATATTCTGCTGCTATTCAATGTGACATGAGAACCACATTGATTTATAACCCATATTATACTTAAGGGTTGTATCCTCCTGAAAGAATCTTATTGTTGTCGAGACTGAAGGCACTGATGCAGATACTTTAAATATCTGTTGTTATGTTTGCTTTCAAGTGCTTGTAGTTAAGGGGGGGGGGTGGCTGGGATTGAGTTTGTGCTGATGTCAGTATAAAGACTAAACAGGTGCTCGATGCAAGTGAAAAAGAGAACAGCAAAGTCGATCACGGAAATTGATAATGGTGGAAAATGCATGGTGAGGGGGAAATGCTTTTGAGTGGATGGCAAGTAAATGCTGAAAACACTGATGAAGATTTAACACAAACCTATGAGTTACACTGGCTGCTAACTGAGTTGGTTTTGAAATCTGATAATGAGTACAAACTACTGCACTCATTGTGGCTACCATGATACTTAACGTTGTTTGGACAATTGTTGGAGAAATTAAAGTTCAAATGCACTTGTTTGAAAAAGTGCAAGCTAAAGTCAGATGTGAAAGGGGGAAAAACCTAGAGAGCCATGCAAGGCAACATAGTCCATACATAAGCAGCTCACATGAACAAAGAGGAACAGTTGTCACAAGATGAACCTGATCTATGCTGTCTGTGCACTAGTAAGCTGTAAGACCTGTTATTTTCCATGTCAACAAATCAAATCCATATTTACTGAGTTCTTCTTGTATGTTACTTGTATTTTATATATTAATTATGAAGACTTCCTTCCTTGGCACCTCTTATCAGGATGGAGTGCGAAGGAAATCCTGCGACCTGGGACACTAAGTCACTCACTGGTTTTACTTCACTTTTTTGCTAATGGCAGTTTAAAATCAGGAAATGCGTGTTTCTTCATAAGCATATAAAAAAAAAAGAGGAATGGAAAACTGCAGTGAAAATATGTCAGTCAAAAATATAACATGAGCTGAGTGTCCAGTTTTTTTGCGTAGACTCTAGGTAGCTGCCGGACATTTAATATTCCGAGATTGAATGTGATTGGACTGAAGAGCATATGGTAACAGGTGTGAGGACAGCTGTAGATGCTGGGCCTCTGTCTTTCAATACGCTTCAGCGAGGAGGGGGGGATCTAGATTGAATTTCATCTGATTTCCTCTGGGTTTTTTAGCTAATGACATCTGTGAACCTGCCTGTCTGTTGGTGGGCCACTGAGTTATGAGCCAGTGGAGTGTCAAAAAAAAAGCAGTTTCCTACAAACTTTGGCTAAATGTGTGCAGATAAAGCAGTCGGACTAAGCTGGAAATTATAATTCCTTACAGCCAGTTTTTCATGCTTTGAGCCTGCCTGTGACCTGAGCCTTGCTAAATGACTGCTGTGTTTGTGCGTGCCTCCCTTTGACAGGAAGCTGAGTCGTGATTGTGCTGATAGCACTAAGGCCCATTAAGTCTGGAGACATATGATAGTATGAGATGCACACTGGGGGCATCCCTTTGGTCTGCTTTCCTGCTCTTGTCATTTATACCACACTTCTGTCTGTTTTCCTGTGTTTCCTCCCCTGCTCAGATTAAGGAAAAACACTGAGAGGAGGGAAAGGGTTTTAAAGGTTCAAGGATCTACCTACGTCTTGCTAATATAGATAATTTTATGCTTGGTGGGAGTAATCAAATTTGCCATCTCTGGGGCTTATTGATCAGAGATGTTGCTGTGAGGAAGGGGGTAGAAGCAGACTCTGTCTGAGAAACACTTGGGTATTGATTTCTAAAAAGCTGGAAGGAATACACCATATGCACACATGGCAAGTGGAGACCTGCAATGTATGACATAACAAAAAGGGGCCTACTTCTTTGGGGTAAAGGGTTCTTGCTCTACAAGTAGGTGTGGTGTGGGGATTAACAGTATTTCCTCACAGCAAGAAGGTCCTGGGTTTCCACCACCTGTCCTGTGTGGAGTTTGAATGTTCTCCCTATGCTTGTGAGGGTTCCCTTCAAAGACTGGACCTCAGAACTGCACAAGAATTACACAACTGTTGTGCCCACAGATAAGGAAATTCTCCCCCAGCATGATCTAATATAACTATACAAAAGTCTTGAGCCAAGCCTCATTTTGCTAGGAAAATTGGGACATTAATTTGTTTAAGCTTAAGCTTAACAAGTGAATATTTAGTATGTCCACCTTTAATCTTCAACACAGCCTGAACTTACTTTAGCAAGCTTTCTTGCCATTTTGTTTAGCAGTCTTCGGGAAAAGTTCTTCAGGCTTCTTGAAGGACATTCGAAGCTCTTCTTTGGATGTTGTCTCTTATTCTGTTCTTTGTCAAGATAATAACACACTGCTTCAATAATGCTGAGGTCTAGGCTCTGGGGAGGCCAATCCGTGACTCAGAGTTTTCTATTTGTTTGGTATTATTGTCAAAGCTGATAAATTAAGCTGTCACCAATCAGATGCTTCCTAGATGGTACTGCATAGTGAATCAAAATCTGGTGGTGCTTTTCTGTGTTCATAATTCCATCCATTTTGACAAGATCTCTAACACCGGCTGAAATTCGGCGCCAAATCATGACAGAGCCTCCACCATGTTTTACAGGCACTGTTGTACATATTGTGCATGTTGACCATTTGAACCACAACTTTAAAACTTGGAGTCATCACTTGGCCTTTTCTCCTTGTTTCCCTTGCTGAAGAATGACTTCTTGACTGCTGAATTTTATTTCCTATTACTCAAGGACTTAAACAGTATTTGAAAGTCATTATCTGCTGTAAATAGTTTTAAAAGCTTCTTCTGTTGTGCTTTTGAGAGATTCAACTAAAGAACTGGGAAAGATTTGGTGTTTTTCTGACAGACTGTGAGTAATAAAGTACCCAAAAGATACAATTTAAAATTGAGTCTTTCCTAAGTTGTCTATTATGTGTAGGCACAACTCAAGGTCTCTTGAGTTAGGTACGTATGTTCGAATGATTCATACATCAGTGTTAAGTGGGTCAACAAATAAAACTTTCTGCTAAAAATGTTCAGATAAAAGAAATAGATTGAAAACTGTTGAAAAAGCAGATAATGTCCAAAGAAAAGGTTTAAAAGACTTTCAGAAAGCCTAGAGAGCTATTTTTCAAGACCATTTAAAAAACTGCAAGAAAGTCTGGTTCCTTGGAAGCTAAATATAAGGAAAACAGGGGCAGCCCGAGACTTTTTACAGTACTCTATAATTCCCCTGTGTCATCTGATAAAAGTAACCCATTGTTTACTGACCAATGAGGGGCGTACCTGACATCTTGTGTATATATTTAACCCACAAAGCAGCTTCAACAAAATTTTTTTTATGTCTGATAAATGATAAGATATTTAGTCTTGCTGTCCAGTCTCAGTGTCTTTGAAAAGGAGAATCTTATTTTTTTCTTAAGAACAATGTCATTGTCATAGTATGACAGTGAAAATAATGCTGACAATATCGTAACAGCTGATCCATTAAGGAAGTCTATCTCAGTGTCTTACAGACTGTAAATGTCTAATTATTCAAGCATGTTATCATTCACCAATTTTTTTGTCTAATAAGGTATGAACTAATCAACTGTGTTTATAATTGAAAAATATCAAAGCTGATTAATGATGCTAAGCTAGGGTTTTATTGAAATTGCAGTATTTTGTCTGCACAGTATGACTTGTGAGGCATTTTAAGCCCTTTTACTAACAAATAACATGATTATAGTGTGAGGCTTGTTGTGTCTTAGCACTGAGCCTGATCTCTCATCAGCAGTTCAACAGTGGCTTCATACTGACTCCCGGGGAGCAGCTGTTTTGATAGTGCTGTCCTCATCAGTGTTGATTAAATTTTCTAAAATCATCACTTGGGGAGGAAAAAGGCAAAGAAAACTACTTTTAATGATT